TATTCATAAAAACAGGCATCAGGGCTGAGTTGGCCCCCAGGATGTGATGTGCCGATCTGTGATGTAGAGGCTTAGTCAGATTCAGGTTTGATTTTCTAGTGAGAACATTTCCCTGGTAGCATTGTGGACTTCCACCAGGAAGCACAGAACGTTGGGTGGTCTCTGTTTTGTGTGCAAAGCTATCAGCCATGTATGCTCCATGATGGCAATGTTCCAATCCCATCATTTCTTCTTCATTTATTAGCTGCCATCCTTCTGTAAAGAGGAATTTCCCCTCATCAATTATTTGGTTATACTGACGTAGAGTTTGTACAGGAAACTCAAGATAATAAATGCTTGATTCTTGGGGCGCCTGGGTGGTGCAGTCGTTGAGTGTCTGCCTTCGGCTCAGGTCATGGTCCCAGGGTCCTGGGATCAAGCCCCACATCAGGCTCCCTGCTCCACGGGAAGCCTGCTTCTCCCTCTCCCACTCCCCCTGCTTGTGTCCCTCTCTCGCTGTGTCTCTGTCAAATACATAAATACAATCTTTAAATAAATAAATGAATGAATGAATGAATAAATGAATAAATGCTTGATTCTTTTCCTTTCTCTGCCAGTTTTTAAAAATGATGCATTGGGCTCCTTAGCAGTCTTCAAAAACAATCAATGTACTTTTTCAAAGAACATTATGAACGAATAGGTTTCAACATAATTGAAGTGTTTTGAACCATTATAGTTATTACTTTCAATGATGTTTGAATTGCCCCGGTTCTGCCCCAGCTCTGGACAGGGCCTCCAGAGTCTTTGGTAACATTCTTGCTTTCTGGTATGACAAAATGGTCCAGGGTCACCATGCTCGGTTTCTTCCCCAGACCTATAATCAGCCTTCTCTGGGGAGCCGCAGTTTGCTTTACAGTGAAGTGATATTTAGAAGCCCTAATGTAGGCTCTATGGGTGCTCATTGTATGTAGGCCTTTCCAGTAGATGCAGCAGGCTTATTACTATTTTCTTAGGATTTTATTTATTCATTTGTGAGAGAGAGAGAATGCAAGCAGGGAGAGGAGCAGAAGGAAAGGGAGAGAGAGTGGGAGAAAATCTCCAGCAGACTCCGCCCTGAGTGCAGATCCTGATGTGGGGCTTGGTCCCACCACCCCAAGATCACGACCCAAGCCAAAACCAAGAGTCAGACACTCAACTGACTGATACTCTCAGGTATTCCAAGGCTTATTTTTTTAAATATGAAAGATCTCGGGGCGTCTGGGTGGCTCAGCCTGAGAAGCGTCTGCCTTTGGCTCAGGTCATGATCCCAAGGGTCCTGGGATCCAGCTCTGCATTGGGCTCCCTGCTCAGCGGCAAGTCTGCTTCTCCCTCTCCCTCTGCCCCTCCCCCCTGCTCATGTCTCTCTCTCTCTCGAATAAATAAAATCTTTGATTAAAAAAAAAAAAGGATGGGTGTCTGGGTAGCTCAGTCGTTAAGCATCTGCCTTCGGCTCAGGTCATGATCCCAGGGTCCTGGGATCGAGCCCCGCATCGGGCTCCCTGCTCCGCGGGAAGCCTGCTTCTCCCTCTCCCACTCCCCCTGCTTGTGTTCCCTCTCTCGCTGTGTCTCTCTCTGTCAAATAAATAAACAAAATCTTTAAAAAAAAAAAAAGGATCTCAGGAATACCTACTGAAATTTCCAAATCAATTCAGGACCACGCGGCTCCTGAATCTCTTCAGTCTGACACCTTGTCCCCTTTCTCCCATGCTCTACTTCCTGGTTCACCTGGGCAGCTTTTAAAACTAGCAGTTTACCACTAGGAGGCTGGTCCCAAACCAACTGAATGGGAAGAGGCACAGGCAGAATCCCCCAGGTGATTCACTGAGCAGCCAGGCTTGGCTCTGAGGAACGAGCATGGAGTGCTGCCCAGGGGCTGGGTAGGAATACAGATGGAGAAAAGTCTACTAGCCTGTCCATTTGGGAGTGGAGTTTTGTAGGGTGAAGAGTGACTGGAGTTGGAGGAAGTTGAGCTAAGGAGGCCAGGCAGCTCTTTCACCAAGTGTGGCTATAAGGGGAAGGAGAAAAGGCCCAGTAACCGGCAGAAGTGGGATGAAGATGGGTTTAAAAAAAGAGAAGTGGGGGCTGTAAGCATGTTTGTAAGTTTCTGAGAAGGAACCAGGAGACAGGCAGAAAATGAAGCTACAGGAGAATAAAGAGATGAGCTGATAAGCTCTCACAGGGCTGCAGGTGGCTGGTGTCCGCCTCTTGCTAAGCGTGGGAGGCACTCAGATAGAGGAACGAGCCCTTTGAGTCTGCAAACTCAAGAGCAAAGACCAGATCTTACTTCACCCTTCTCTTCCAGCAGCTGACACAGTGCCTGATACAGAGGAGTCATTATAGGTTGAAAATGTAGATGCAAACGTAGAAACCAAAGATCATACACACAGCAGTTCTCCAAGTATGATCTGACCCTTTCAAGACACTTGCGAAAATGCAAAATAACCATTCTTCTCACTTTTTGAAAAGATTAGTTTTCATTAAAATGTTATTTTATGTTGTTGTATAATGGGTTTATTAAAACTCCTTGGGGTCCTCAAACTTTAAGATTTTATTTTTAAGTAATCTCTATATCACGTGGGGCTTGAACTCATGACGCTGAGATCAAGACCTGAGCTGAGATCGAGAGTGGGCTGCTTAACCCACTGAGCCACCCAACTGCTCCATGGGGGTCCCCAATTTTTAAGAGAGTTAAAGGGCCCTAAGACCCAAAATTTGAGAACTGCTGGTGTAAAAGGAGCTCAGAGCTAGCGGTAAGAAAAGGTGAACATCAACAAACACACCAATGACAATCTTCCTGGCCAAGCACCACGTTCTTCTGGAAGGAATCCCTGGTTGGCTCCTTGCACAGGAGGGTGAGACCTGTCCTCACCTTCTGCTGTCCAGGGGAGCTCTTGGTGAGGATGTTTGCTCTTTACAAGGAGGATGGGCCAGTCTCACTTGTAGGCCCTGGTTTTTCTGAGTGGCTCCAGGAAGTGCATGGCTGGGGGCCCTCAGTGCATGGAGGGGGCATGGGGCAGTTTGAAGAGGATGCAGGGGTGTTGTAGGTGCATGAGGGGTCCACCTTCTTCCCCCTCCTTGCCCGTGCTATGGGAAGTGGCTTCTTTCTTAGAGAAGTGCTTCTGGAAGGATATAAAGAGTCTCTAATCCTGCCCCCTGAGAGGCCTGCCCCATAGGGTTTCAGTGAGAACACCTGGCAGATGAAATGATTCTTTCCCACACCCAGCCAGCACCCTCGTTCTGAGGAGAGGGGTCAAGAACCGCGAGACCATTCATAAAACAGAGATGGCCAAGGGGACCGTCATCAGATGCTGTCACTTCAGCCCACATTATTTTCTGATGAGACAGCTCTGCCATCCATTAAAACTGCATGAGCTCCTCTGTGACTGTATCTTAATGCATCTGTTTTCCCCTAAACTTAAACTAGCCCTTTCAAAATGAAAAGTTCATGAACACTCACACTAGGTGGAGTCAGGAGCACCATGAAAGACAAACCTTAATTAGACTTGATTTTTAAAATGTTCCCTTGAGGTTTTTAATTATTAGAGCAAATGTCTCTAATGTTGAACTTCACGTCAGGTAGCCCCAGTGCCAATGTCCTTAATAAATTCCATGTGCTTTTTACAAGGTTATGGACTTCTGAGAACTGTCTGCACGTCTTTCTGAACCCCTCAAGACTGGACACTAAGGAGTATGAATAATCATTCTTTAAAAATTACACTTCCTCTACAACCTTGAATTTGAAATGTGAATATATGAATAGCTCTGGAATTACTATGCAGATTTATGGGGATATCAATTTAGGTTATATCACAGGCCCAACTAGGCCTTTCTTTTTGAGGCTGGGGATTTGTTAAAGTTGGGATATAGTTTGGAGAGAACGGGATTCTTACAAACACAGCTGAAGGTCTCTGACATATGGGTCTCTTGCAGAGTTAGACCTGATTCTAAAATTGAGAAGACAGGAATAAAAATCAAATCTTGAACAGAAGTAGCTGAAAATTATAGGGAGGAGTGAAGCTTTGCTCCAACCTTCCCACTGTTTGAAGATGGGTTTGTTTGTTTTTCAAAAACAGCCAGCATAATTCAGCTGGAGGAGGTAGAAAGATTTTTATGCTCCTTATTTCAGTAGAAATCAATGGGCTTTAGCTGGTGCAACTGCCCCCCCCCCCCCCCCGCGTTTAGTACCTGAAATAAAATAACCCTCGTTGTTTGCACTACTGCGCTACTTGGTCTTGGTGTGCACCGCTAAACAAGTATTAATTAGATAATCCTCCAAGGGCCGGCGGGGGGGGGGGGGGGTGGTGTGGGGATGGAAGGCAGCGGTCCAGACTTGGCGGCCCTGATTTTTGCATCGTGACTGCAACTTGCTCGGTGGACTGAAGGAGTCCTGGGGGAGGTGAGGGAGCAGCTCCCGGCAGCTTCTTGTCTGCATTATGGACGAGGACGAGCGTGGAGCGAAGAAGCCCAAGCTCAAAGCCAGCAGCGGACCCCACCTCCCCCGCGGCAACGGTGGGCGCGTGCGGGAGCCGCGGCCCCGGGCGGCAGCAAAGGCAGCCAAGCCCGCTTCCCCCTCCCCCCAAGATTTCTAGGGAGAGGTCTCCAAAGCTCTCGCGCTCTCCCTGCCTCCCCCCAGCCCCAGCAGCCAGGGGCCGAAGTGGGGATAGGGGAGAGGCAGTGAGGAGGAAGCGGGGTGGGGGCGGGGGTTCAGCGCACGGGAAATGCCGGGAGAGGCAGCCAGACTCCCGTGGGCTTAAGTGCGACAGGGATGAACTTAGCGAGGGGAGGTGCTGACTCCTGATGAAGCTCGCGGCTCTCTGACGACTCCCTACTCCCCTCTCTGACCCTCAAGTCACCCCCCCACCGCTGCGGGGCCCCCCTCGCGCGCGGGGCCAGGGGGCCAGTTCAGGCCCTCGCTGCCCCTTTAAGGGTTCCCGAAACTTTCCCCCTGGTAGCAGACGAGCCTCGTCACATCCGTTGGCCGTAGCAGCGGGGCGCGTTCCGAGGAAATTCGGGACTCGACTTTTCCCGGGGAGGAGGCGCGGCCCGAGACGAGCGAGAGTGGGCAGGGCGCGCCCGGGGTGCTCCGGCGGACCCCGCGCTCAGCTGTGACCTTGGCCGCGGGGGAGGGGCCCGGCCCCTGCGGGGCAGCCGCCGCCCGCCAGAGGGGGCAGCGGCGACCAACTTGCTCAAGTTGGCGGCGCGGGCTGGGGCGGCTCCGGCTCCGGCGCCTCCTCCCGCTTCCCCGGTCCTCCTCCCGCGGCGCTCCTCCCAGCCGCTGCCGCCCGCCCGGTGCGCGCCCAGCCCTGCCCGCAGCCCCGCGCCGAGCCGCCGCCGCCACCGCCGCCGCCGCCGCCGGACGGGACGGGCCCGGCCGGGCGCGCCCCCCGGGCCCCGCCGCGGGCATGGGCGCGCAGGCCCCGGCGCTGCTGCTGCCGCTGCTGGCCCAGTGGCTCCTGCGCGCAGCCCCGGCGCCGGCCCCCGCACCCCTCACGCTGCCCCTCCGCGTGGCCGCGCCCACCCCCGGGCCCGGGACCCCCGCCGCGCCCCGCGCCGCGCCCCACGCGGACGGCCTGGCGCTCGCCCTGGAGCCCGCCGGCGGCGCCGCCAACTTCTTGGCCATGGTGGACAACCTGCAGGGCGACTCTGGCCGTGGCTACTACCTGGAGATGCTGATCGGAACCCCCCCGCAGAAGGTAGGTTGGCGCCTGCTCGCTCGCTCGCTCGCCCAGGGGACCCGCTCCTCGCCACCCCTGCGGCCCCCCAGGCTGCAGCCGCAGGTTTTCCGGGGTTCTGGGGGGGGCGCCCGGCGGTGCTTGCGCGCGGTTTAGCGTCGCCCCTAACCACACGCCGGCAGAGCGGAGTGGGGGCCCGCCGAGGGGCCCCGCGGGGCCGGGAGCGGGGCGCGCGCCCTGGGGACGCGGAGCGCGGGCCGTCCTGTCCGGGGCGCAGCCGAGGGTGTGCGCGAGTGTTTAAGAACTTGTTAGTCCTCCCCTCGGAGCGGCCGGGCGGCGAGCGCCTCCAACGGGCAGCCCTTCTGGCGAGCGGGGAGCCGGCACCGTGGGCCTTGGGCGCGATGCTGTGGCTACTGGGGGCTCCCTTTGAGTGCCGGTTCTCCGCCCCCCCTCACACCCCCCCCCATGCTGTCTCACTGCTACGGGGGCTGGTGGCCGGCTCCGGAGGCGCAGTGCCTGGAGAGGGATCTGTGCGCGAGCTCCGCCGAGCAGCCCTGCCCGCGGAGGCTCGCTGGCTGCGGGCGGAGGGGGCCGCGTGGCCGCCGTGCTGCTCTCCTCTCCCGGAGTTGGCTCGTCGGCTTCCTCCCGCCCGCCCAGCCTCTCCGCCTCTCCGCCTCTCTGCACGGAGCCAGCGTCTGCACACGTGTGTGTGGAATGTACTAAATGCAGTCCTGCTCCTGCGGAAAAATACGGGCTGAGCAAGCCTTCCAGGGCCCGGGTGGCTTCCCGATGACCAAATAAAAATAAACCCAAACAGCCTTCTTTGTATCTTAATCTGATTTTAATTTGCTAGCACTTTTTGTTGCAAGAAACTAATGGCCCCCGGCTCAGTAATCTTAAGAGAAACAGAATTCCTGGAGTTGATTTGGCCCCCCTCCTCTTTCCACGTTTACCTAATCTAAGTGTGATTATTTGAAGTCAGGTTTTTCTTATCAATTGAGTACAGTCCCAAGATACTTTGTTTTTATTTTTAACGTTGTCATTTGAGTTTCAATTCAGCTATGATTCCCCCATAAATAGAACATACTCATGACTTTGGTGTAATTCTAATTAAATTATTCAAGACTTTCTTAAGAGGAAAGACGCGATGCTAATTCTTTTAAAAAAAGAAACTCTACTGAGTAACTTCTATACTTGCTTAATTAGTTTTAAAAAAAACCCTTCAGAAATGTGTTCTCAAAACTTTAACTCTGGTTGCCTTTCCTCTGAAGCCTTGTCTTTGGTGTTCCCGGCGGGGATGGTGGGCAGGGAGGGGGGAGGGCGTCAGCTGAGGGAGCTTAACTTGACCACAGAGGTGTGGGTGCTGGTAAGAGCCACCACGTGAAGACACGCGCTGGTGGTGAGAATGAGAACTTTGTACTTTTTGCCTTCCCAAGATTTCGAAAGATTTTGCGGATGAACCTCTTCAGTGGCTCAAGGATGATCTTTGCCAACAGGAAATGACTCTCTCTTTGTAAAATATGTGCCTTGTGGGGAAGAGCTCTTGTTAATTTTTGAGTGGAAGGGAAGTCTTTGTGCTAAAGATTTGGGCAGTTTGGGTGCTGTGATGAAAGGGGTCCTTGATGTCTGTCTCCCTCCAGAGAAGACAGGAAGGGGAAAAGAAAGCCTCAAGAAAAACAGGGGGTGGGGGGGATAAGGTTTCTCAAAAAAAAAAAAAAAAACCCACAAACCTTTCATAAATAATAGCTTTTCTTCATTAATTAATCCAGTGACCTTTATTTTATTATTTTTTAAAGTAAGTTCTAGGCCCACCGTGGGCCTTGAACTCACCTCCCAGAGCTCCGAGAGTCGCATGCTCTGCAGGTTGAGCCAGCCAGGCATCCCAGTGACCTTTACTTTAAAATGATGAAGTTTAATTAACAGGATCGTACTGAAGCCTAGTGCTTATATCTTTACCCTGGCCAAGGAAGTAGTTCATTCAAGGTTATTTCTCAAAGATGAGCATGTTTCCAGGGAAGACTGTTTTTAACAATCCAGATTTAATTTTTACATTTGACGGGGAATGAAATATTCTGTTCCTCCTTCCTGGCCTGATTTAGTAATAAGCTGTTTTATAGCAAAATCCGTGTGTACGATCTTTCCAGAGGCCTACTATAAACTCTTAGGTATTAAGTGACAAGTCCATTGGGATTCATTTCTTCCCTGTCTCCTCCTGAAATGTCTCCGGCCACCAGCAAGGTGTTTGCAGCAGGCCCTGGGGTGACTTCTGCACTTGGAGTGAGGTTTCCTGCTCTGTTAATGGCCAAGAGTTACGCATTTATTCTCTGCTGATTCTCCTAAACCTAAAATAAAACTTGCTTAGGTGGAGAGAAAAATGAAATTGTAAATTCAGGCATTAAATAACCAAGAATTTGTGGAGAAGTGATAGTCCCTGACTGTGTGGAGGGCTCCCCTCGTGGTAAGCACCCTGCTGCGTGCGTGCCCGTGTGTTCTCCTGGGGGGATCCTCGCAACCACCTCGCAGTTCTGATACCCATTTAGGGGATGGGAAAACAAGCTTGGAGAGGTTGAATGACTGGCCCAGACTGAACCAGACAAGAAAGAGGGAGAGCCAGCAATCCAACCCAGGTGGCTAGACTCCAGAAGCCAAGTTCTGAACCACTGGGCTCATACCTACTGCTACCTTTCCTTACTGCTTCCTTTTCTTTTTCCCATTTTCCTTTTTTCTTTTTAAGATTTTATTTATTTATTTGACAGAGAGCACAAGCAGGGGGTGCGGCAGGGAGAGGGAGAAGCAGACTCCCCGCTGAGCAGGGAGCCCGATGCAGGGCTCGATCCCAGGACCCTGGGGATCGTGACCTGAGCGGAAGGCAGACACTCAGCTGACTGAGCCACCCAGGCACCCCTAATCTTCCCTCTAAAAAAAAAAAAATTGGCCTTTAACTACTCTCTCCAGCCACAGGTCCCTAGACCTTAAAGCCCAAGGCATTAGGGACTTAATGGGTGACCAAAAATGGATTCCAGCCCCTTGCTGTCCCTTCATCGTTTCCCTCCCTTCAGGGTGACCTACTGAATGGTTGGATCCAGGTATGCATGGGAGAGGGAGAGGTCATCAGGAACCAGAGCTGCACAGACCCCTGCTCTCCCATGGGAAAGCCCACTGTTGGACATGTGCTCGTTCCCTGAATGCTTTCATCAAGAACCAGGGGTTCGTCGTTCTGCCTGCCACTGTTGAAGACATCACAGGCATCTGCCCCGAAGCCGGTGCGAGAGCTGGACCACGTTGGCATGGAGATGAGTGCCAGGTGTTTGATACATCGCGTGACTTCTTTCGAACAGTAGAGAACCAGCAGCCGCTTGAACCATGCAGTTTGGTCTTATTAATAATAATAATGGTGTTCTAAAGTGATTATAGCAATTTCCATTATTTAAAAAAAAGGCTTTCACCCTGACGCAGTAAATCCAACTGGAGATGCTAAGGGTCTGCAGCTCTGTACCTTGTAATGGCCTCAAAAAGCCCTTAGGGGTTTCTGATGAAAGATTTTCTGTCATCTCCGCTAATATGGATGAAACAGACAGCAACACGATTTTCATATTTAAACATTTGAATGTAAGGAGCTAAGAAATTATTTTGGGGACTCACATTTTAATCATGGCGCATTGGCTTACCACTTCTTAGTACACAATTGTTTGGAAGACTTTGGATTGAAGATATGTGCCAAGTATATGCAATTTAGGAGTTTGTCTTTTTTAGAATAAGCAATCCAGTGTCCCTAAATTACATGAGGCTCACTGCAGGCGAGGCTGGAAAAAGGAAGGCGATGGGCACCGAGAATAAATTTGATGGAACACAGTGAGATGGTAAATATTAAGGACAATGGGAAAGGAAGAGATTTCTGGGGTCTGAAGAACAGGAAAGGCAAAAGCAAGGTTCCTGCCAGCTCCTGTGAGCGGCAGGTAGCAGCTCCTGAGCTTTGGTGGAAGAATTCAAGATCCAGGTCCTCCTTCGGAAGGCAGAAAGGCTGGGCCGAGGCATCTGCTCAAAGCCCCTGAGGGACAGTCTGAGAAGTCGCTAACAACCATTAATATTACTAGCTAACCTTTATTTCAGGCTCACTGGATGGTGGGCACCATGCTAAGCATTTTGCTCAAACCGTCTCATTTACTCCTCCAAACGGCCCTGGGAAGGACGTAGAAGTTACTCGATTTAATTAATCAGATGGCGAGAGCAAGGTGCAGAGAGGCCCAGTAATCGGTCCAAGGTCCCCCTGGTGAGTGGCAGAGCTGGGGTATCTGTCATTGGGGTCTGCCCGGTTCCGTCCCACAGTCTGAGCACTTTACTGCTGCTCCCCTTGTGCACTTGGACTTAAAAAAAAAAAATACCCATTTTCATTCACCTGCGGAGGACTTGGGTGTGGCCGGAAGCATCTGGGATGGTGGTGGCATTACCCCAGTGATGGTGGCGGACAGGTGGTCAGCCACGCTGTGCTGCCCTTCCCTTACGGGTTGCAGATCTTTGAGTTTCTAGGTTCTTGCAGCTGCTGTGACAGATCACCCCAAACCAGGGGACTTAACAGAAATACACTCTCTCGCCGTTCTGGAGGTCGGTCATCCAGAGGAAGGTGTTGCCAGGACCCTGTTCCCTCCCCCGCCTCTCCCAGCTTCTGGTGGCTGCCCGCAGTCCTCCCTGTTCCTTGGTTCTAGGCTGCATCTCTCCAATCTCTGTGTCTGTCTTCAAATGAAATTCTCCTCCCCCTTCTCCTCCCACCTTGTGTGTGTCTCTAGGTCCAAATTTGCTTCTTAGAATGACACCAGTCATTGGATTAAGGTTCACCCTGGTCCGTTCTGACCTCATCTTAGCTTCATTACAACTGTAAAGACAGGGTTTAGGATTTCAACATATCTTTTAAAAAAAAATGTATTTATTTTAGGGGCGCCTGGGTGGCTCAGTTGGTTAAGCATCTGACTCTTGGTTTCTGCTTAGGTCATGATCTCAGGGTCATGAGATCAAGCCCCGTGTGT